TTTTACCTGCAAAACTAAACTCATAACTTGCAAGTACAGAGTCACCATGCCATTTTGTCAAACAGGATACTCACACCACCAAGGAAGCGAATGATTTATATCAAAGGTCATTCCACAATAAGACTCAGGCAGTGACAAATGGCTGAACTCTGAGAGCATTGCTGAGGAGACAGCTCAGTTATATTTGTATTTCTTCCAAATAAGTACACCAAGGAGCATGAGATATCCAGTATCACATTTTTATTGTATATATATACCTATTTTGTAGGGTGAGAAGTCCTTGGTATTTAGCTCCTAATGACCTCTCTCCATCTTTAACAGTTCAGTGTCATCTCTCAACAAGGAAAGAATGTCTACTACCACATATGATCCCCTTCTTGGGGGGGGGGAACAAACACTTGACTTCAGAGAAGGTCACACTACATGCCTGGCCTTGTATTCAGTTAATCTGTCAGAGCACACAGTACAACAAGGCCATTTAAAGAAAGGGTTTAAAAATACATGTGCACCCCTGAGACAACACACAAGTGCCCATCTCAAAAACCTGGAGACATCAATCTTATCACCTGTTCACTGGAGATTACACTAATGAAAATGTAATAGTAGATTGAACAAGTGATAAAATGAGGTGACTCAAATACATGTTGATTTAATGCTTGTCATTAACATTCACAGTGCTAGGATATATGGTTATCATTTGGTTTCATCATTTTTGTTTTTCTGCCATTGTAAATGAAATGCCATTTAATAAACACGCAGCTGAAGTGCCCTAATTAACTTCTCGTTCACAGCCAAAGAAACCTTTTTTCATGCTAGCGGCTTTATTAGGCTGTTCTTTGGCAAAGTAGTGCTTCAAGTTAAATGCTGATTGTATGCAACCACTCACAGTGACACTGCTAAAAGAAAACTTGAGGGATCAACAAAATTATTACAGTTCATCCTGAGAGGGGTATGAATGTCTGTTCTAAATGTTGTACCAACCCATGTTGAGATATTTTCTCATGGTGGCGCTAGAGGTAAAGTCAGAGGATCACCAGAGTCATTAGGATTTATCTTCTGGGCACCAGGCCTGTATCTGTGATACAGGCCTGGTGCCCAGGCAATCCATCAAAACTAAACCTGCAAAGCAAATAAACATAAACCCCATACTACTGTTAAGGGCCAAATAAATTAGCATTAAAATGTGATGTTTTAAATCTAATCTGATGTTAATTAACATGACCAGAAGGTTTTTCACTGCTTAGCTTCACTTGTATTTTTTCACATCATCTTAAAGCTAAAATGAAAAAATTACAAACAAAAACAAATGTTTTGCTGTAACAATGCTGTAAACAACATTGTGTTGCCAATTACAGTGTAACCTCTTTCATTAAAGTGCAAATCAAGTAATAAATTAATAGTCTACCAAAGGTATGGATTCAGAATGTCCCCTTTTGCCATGTTCTAATAACTCCCATACCAAACATGAGAGTTCATAATATTTCATTTCAGGCACTGTCCCTACAAATCTGAAGCTCTTTGGCTCAGCCAAACTAGATTCTTGGGATAGGCCAAGAAGCTAGTTTGGCTGAGCCATCAGGCCAAGCTACGGGATTATCACACTGTTATAAACTATGACAAAAATCAAACATCTGAGCCAGTAGATCACTAGACAGTTAACACATTGTAAAGCTGCAAGAGCAGTGTGAGCTTTAAAGGCCAAAAATTGTTAAATTAAACCTCAGACTGTGTTGAAGTGCTGTCAGTAGTAGATGAATGGAAACCTGACACTGTTTCCCATCCAGACAGCTCCCATGTTTACTAATCAGAGTATAAACATGGCAGCATTTTACTGTAGATCTGCATGACCCGATCATTTTTTATGATTGATTACTGTGTACATTTTACACATTTTATATGTATTTAAATGTACTGTGTAGACACTAGAACACTAATACGAGCACCAAACTTCTTCCACCTTATGCAGTTCAAGTTTATTTATAGTACAGTTTCATACAAAGAAAGTTCAAAGCCTACAGGGTAATAAAGAATTTTATTAGAAACCAAAACATTCAGGAATAGAAAAGACAAAAATGGGAAAAGCACAACAGCAGAGACACAAAGTAACTGAATAAATAAGAACAGTGCTGATTAATAAGTCAGACTGTAGGCTTGTTAGAACGTAATTTGTACAACCACTACAGTTGTGACCTGTCTGTTCCTGCATGGTGTATATTCAGGCCCATATGGCTGTAGAGCCTCAATTATTCCACAGTAATTGCTGAGATCTTTACAATGTCATTACTCTAAAAGCAGGATTTCTTTTCACAGAAAAATGTAAATAATAATACCTGGTAAAAATAAAACTATAGCACAAAGGAAAAAAAACTTTAAACACTACTGCATAAATGTAATTTATATAAAATATTTTGTGGATGTTATGTATTTTGTAGTTGTTATGTATTATGCTATGTGGCAATAAGTGAATATAATAAACACAACTGGTCACAAATTACAGACATTTATGTAACGCTTTGCTTTGTGTCTCCCTGTTAAGCATTTATAAACAGTATATAGGTAATAAATGTTTTTCCACGCACTACAATGTAGCTGTAAGCAGATATGAGAATATTTTATGTGTTTATTGATGCATAGTATTTGTCAACAGTTCTTATATTGTCATTCATTATCTGTTAACAGCTCACCCTCTACCTAAAGGGTACTTAGAATACTTAAAGTCATTGACAAATACACTGGGGCATTTAATTAATGACCTATATCCGCATACAACAGTGTTTATAAAATATTTATATACGGCTTATGAATACTAAATAGGGGGGCATAATGTAAAGTATTGTCGATATTTATAATGATCTAAGAAAAACAAATTGTTTCTTACCCCATGCCAAACATTTCTAACTCAAAGTATGCAATGGTGATGTTATGGCATTTGTAATTTCACCACATGAACTCAAACATAGGCTCTGCTGCAAGATTTCCGCTCTTGGCTGTTATAATGAGATAATTAACAGGCATTACTGTCATTTAGAGTAGTGCAGTGATCCTTTTTAAATTAGGTTTTCATGGCTAGAAATAGTTCTGGCACAATTGCACACTGCCATTTTTATACAACAATCCACTATTTTGAAAGAAACAGATGGAAGATAGTGAGGTTTGTGATATTTTTATTTGTAGCATAGGGAGACATTTATGATGGACTTTTATATCAAAGAAACTTAGAAATGCCACCACCATTTTTCAAAGGATGCACACTGTGACTGTATGTCATATTATCTCCTACTGAAGGTGGAGGAAATTAAAGTGCTATAAATATGAATATGATTCTTTTTTCTATTGTCCTTCCATCCTACATAACAAATCTAATTAAGTCTGGAATTTCAGAAAGCACAGACCTCACCTAGTGTTTCTGCTATGAAGAGATGTCCGGTTCTTATAATAGCAAATGTGAGGCCCATTTCTACTCCTCTATCAAAGGAAAGGCGTGCAAGGCTTCCACAACAGAATACCAGTGACACATGAGAGCTTCTCCACGGCTAAACCTAGATCCTCAGACGTGCCGAGGCGCATTAAGGAGATTATCATAAATACCAAAACAATGTCTGAACTTCAATAACCGATACACCTGCCAGAACAATCTTTACTCCAAGTAAAAAAAAAAAAAGCTGCATTATACAGTAAGTGTCTTTATTTATACACTTGCGTATCCTGCCTCCAGCTGAACAACATCTGTTGTGTGGCACCATTACTCTTCTGTTAAAATAGCTGACAGTGAGACAAATGTTCTCTATGCTTTCTCACCACATGCTGCACTCCCCAAGGTCATTATGATTCCTATTAAATCAAATAAAACATACCGAACAGTCTTATTATGTGTGACTGGGGAAACAACCCTTCAACACTCTGTTCAAGTATGTGTTTGTTTACAAAGCTCAGTTAATTTCCAATAAGGAACATTTGCCATTTATACACACTAATTAACTATAATCATTTCTATCACTTTTCTGTCCTTTTAAAATTCTTGCCACTGTGTCACAGAAGTTGAATCTGAAATAAACTACCCGTGTTGATCTAAAGATGACAGAAATCAGATAAGAGGCAAAAAAAATCTGCAAGTGTAAAACTGCATGACCAAATAAAGCAAGTAATTTCTGCTGAGTGTGCACTGATCTTCCTATATAAGTAAGAAGGCTGGACACTCTGGAGGACTGACAGGCAACAAGTCAAGGTGAGTGAGTGAGTCTTTTATTAGCAGGACTAAAGCCAGCAACTTAAAGAACAATGCAGGGCATGGCCACTTTTTGCCACACACCACAAAGTGAACACAGATCTTTTTTTGTGTTAATGCCAGCACTTCAGTGTACTGTAAGTTTATTTTTAATAGTGATCTACTTTAATTGCAGTTATTAATCTAAACTGGTTGCTTATTTCTTCAGAACCCTCAATAGGCCATCATTATTTGTTCTTCTGTGGGGACGGAGGAAGGTAATCTATTTCTATTTCTAATCTATGACTGTTTCATTTAGTTTTCAAAATGTCTAATCAGTAGTCTAGTGGTTAATTGAATAGAGTTTGCCATATGAATGTCTAACCTTTATATTCCATGTAATGAATAATACATCAATTAGTTAACAGTCAGTTATGTTCATCTCACTCCATTAATGGCATTTACATTCTCAGGTAAGCTCAATTTAGTTACTAATACTTTGTAAAAAAAAAAAAAAAACACTGTAGTGCATGTAAGAAGTCATGGCATCAACAAAGGTTTAACAGTTAAAGAGAATTTTATATTTTTACAAAGTGTGAATTTAGCTTTTGTGTCAAACTTTCTAATTCATTTTGCATGAAACATACATAATTATAATACAGCAATGTCCGTTCTGTTCCTGATTGAGTGTAACACCGACTTTAACATTAGCAGCAGACATCAAGCAGAGACAAAACAATGACTGAAATAACTGACTGATGTATTGTTTTTTACTTAAGTGCAGTAAAGGGTCATCATGAGTACAGATGGTGAAATGGAGTGTTTTGGCCCGGCGGCCGTTTTCCTCCGGAAGCCAGAAAAAGAGCGAATTGAAGCTCAGAACACTCCTTTTGATGCTAAAACAGCTTACTTTGTGACTGAGCCCAATGAGATGTACCTGAAGGGGAAACTTATCAAGCGAGAAGGCGGGAAAGCCACCGTGGAGACTCTCGGTGGAAAGGTAAGAACATGGTGCTGGAACTTAAAAAAATGCAGCTTTGTCATCTATTTGAATATATAGAATATATTATAGTTCACAGCATGTTTACATTCACAGTGCAACAGCTGTACAACAGTTTCATAAGATACGTCCGCACAGATCCTGATATAGGTTCACAAAACCATAAATGCGGAACTATGTGAATCTGTCTGTAAGTGTCCTTTTGTTGATGGAAAGCTAAGGAATTACAGTTTAAAATGGTTAAAGGTAAGACAAGGTACACATAAGAGGTATAAATTCAGCACTATAATTCCTCCTACTTCAAGTGAAAAATCCAGACTTTGAGCTGAGTTTGGAGTTCCTGTGATTTACCTGTGGACTGTGAATCATGACCACCACAGTCTGTACACTGTTATGACTGAAGTCCTTTGTCTTTCCTGTTCCTATAAGCTTACACTGTTTGTTGCAGACTCTCACTGTAAAAGAGGATGAAATCTTCCCCATGAACCCTCCGAAGCTTGATAAGATTGAGGACATGGCCATGATGACCCACCTCAGTGAGCCTTCTGTGCTGTATAACCTCAAAGAGCACTATGCAGCATGGATGATCTATGTGAGTTTTGTTCAGGGGAGTAATTACTTCCATAGAATGTACACATTTTTACAGAAATATTCATCGTTCCTTAATATTCCACTTTGTTATAGACCTACTCTGGGCTGTTCTGTGTCACTGTGAACCCCTACAAGTGGCTCCCGGTGTATGATGCAGTGGTTGTAACAGGATACAGAGGCAAAAAAAGAGTGGAGGCTCCACCCCACATCTTCTCCATCTCTGATAATGCCTATCAGTTCATGCTCCAAGGTATCAGTCATTTTGTGAGCTATTATATGTCAATAAATACAATTGCACTTCAGGAGAACTAACATCCTAAATGTTCTGTATCATCTTGCTATCTTACAGACAGAGAAAACCAGTCAATCCTGATTACGTAAGTGCAAATTATCTCATAATATATTATTTATGAGTACTGACAGCAGTCATTTAAAATGTTTATGAACACACCCTTAAACCCAGCGGAGAATCTGGTGCAGGAAAGACTGTCAACACCAAACGTGTCATCCAGTATTTTGCAACAATCGCAGTGGCTGGAGGAAAGAAAACTGAGGCAGTTCCTGGAAAAATGCAGGTAAACGATCAAACCTGCTCTTAGGAAGACAAAGCTGAAAGAGACACACTGAATGTGATCTTGGATCATGTATAAAGCATAAATGTTCTCTTCTTGATATGTCTTCTAAATGAAGGGGTCGCTAGAGGATCAAATCATTGCAGCCAACCCACTGCTGGAGGCTTATGGCAATGCCAAAACTGTGAGGAATGACAACTCATCTCGCTTTGTAAGTGGCTGTTAACTCTCTTTTTACATAACCTGAGATTGATACGTTATAAATTCTAGCTCATCATCTTATTATGAATAGGGTAAATTCATCAGAATCCATTTCGGAACAACTGGGAAGCTGGCGTCAGCAGACATTGAAACATGTAAGGCTAGAAATGAAACAGCAGATGTACCTCAGTTTGTTCTTGTACCTTCTGTTGATTGAGCAGAACTGATTACTGTCTGTGTGATTGACAGATCTGCTGGAGAAGTCTCGAGTGACGTTCCAGCTGTCTGCTGAGAGGAGCTACCACATCTTCTATCAGCTCACGACAGGCCACAAACCGGAACTGCTAGGTGTGAGATAGTGAATAATATCGCCAATTATTCTAAAGCAAGTGAACAGCAATGACTTTCATATATTATATATTCTGTATGTATGTGTTTTTTTTCTTTTCTGCAGAGGCTCTGCTGATCACCACCAACCCTTATGACTATCCCATGATTAGTCAAGGTGAAATCACCGTCAAGAGTATCAATGACGTTGAAGAATTCATCGCTACTGATGTAAGGACACTTGATGATTGCATTTACTGCAAAAAAAAAAAAAAAAAAAAAAAATCAGGCAAATGTTCACTTTTATGATTACTGCTTCCTTTACGTTCACTAAGATACCTGTTTTTTGTTTGTTTGTTTTTTTTACTGTTTTTGTCACAGATGGGTTTATTAAACTCTATGGTCATTTTTGGGGCTGTTGGTAATGATAGTGTTGTACTGTATTGCATTATATAAACATTTGTTTCCAATATCCTTCAGCATTTAAACTGAGGGAGAAAAATATTAGAAACCTCTTCTATATTCTATTTTATATTTATTGAAAAACAGTCTTTCCTGAGAAACTCCAATGTTGTATGGGATTAAATGTACCTGGATGTTAGTGTAGAAAAAGCACTGCAGGTGATCAGTTTATCAAACAAATAAAATTTACAAAAATATATTAGAAGCTATCACACACAAGCCTGAACACAGTGTTGCTTATTCATTTAAAGCAAAGTAAGCTGTATTGCAACTACTAAACACTTGTGGGGGCAGAGAATATAGCAAAGATGGTTTGTGTTCAAGAACAACATAAGCTTGTGTTTTAACACTTTTCCTTATATCACAGACTGCCATTGACATCCTGGGCTTCACTGCAGAAGAGAAGATGAGCATGTACAAGCTGACTGGAGCTGTGATGCATCATGGAAACATGAAGTTCAAGCAGAAGCCGCGTGAAGAGCAGGCTGAGCCTGACGGCACTGAAGGTATGAAACCCACAGCTTTAAAATATTAGTATAGGTTTTGCCATCAGTGAACACTTGTGATTTAAAGAAGCATTAATGACTTTAGTCAAGAGTCAAGCGTCAAGAATCTTTATTGTCATTATGCATAGCACAATGACATTTTTTCTGGCAGCTCTTGGCTTAAAAGACAGACATATTATTTACATAACACACAATTGTATAAGTCAATATAAAATTATGAACAAATAAAAAGGGATATATGGGACCAAATCAGGTCAGCAGCAAGAGTGTAGTAAAATAATAAGGTGCAGCTCAGTGCAAATCTCAGTCTTTTGGAGGAGGTGTGAGGTCCAGTGTTCTGTGTCTGTCCATAGGGGGGAGGTTGTGTGTGTGACTAGGGGTTAGGGGGGTGATTGATTTCACAGCTCTGGGGAAGAAGCTGTGTCTCAGCCCGTTTGTTTTAGTCTTTATTATTCATGTACCTTTTCCTGGAGGGAAGAGGCACAAACAGACTGTTGCCTGGGTGGGTGGGGTCTGTAGCAATCTATCCAGCCCTCCTCTGGATCCGGTCAGTGTATAGTGAATTTAGATCCAGAAGAGGACTCCCTACGATGCCCTGAGCTGTATTATTCTAGTATTAATGGTTTAAAAGGTCATCATCTGTGTTCTTTTTTAGTGGCAGATAAAATCGCCTACCTCATGGGTCTGAACTCTGCTGATCTGCTCAAAGCACTATGCTACCCCAGAGTGAAGGTTGGAAATGAGTATGTGACCAAAGGTCAAACTGTCCCTCAGGTATAGGAGACAAGAACACAAAAGACAAATTGATACACACAAATTACTGTTTCAAGACACTGACACACAGATCTGTATGCTCCTTTGCTTGTTTTATGCTTTAAAGGTCAACAATTCCGTCATGGCTCTCTGCAAGTCCGTCTATGAGAAAATGTTCTTGTGGATGGTCGTCAGAATCAATGAGATGCTGGATACCAAACAGCCCAGAAGTTATTTCATTGGTGTCCTGGATATTGCTGGGTTTGAAATTTTTGATGTAAGTATGTTTGGTTGATACTACATCATCTTCTACAGCTTCATTTAAATTATTCTGCACCAAGTTTCTTGTCAAAATCAGGGTGTATGGTATATCAGTGTGACGAGTTAAAATGCATTTGTTAGTATCACTTAGAGCCCTTTTTGACCCTTGATATCTTCATTTTATTTAGTTCAACAGCTTGGAGCAGCTTTGCATCAATTTCACCAATGAAAAACTGCAACAGTTTTTCAACCACCACATGTTTGTCCTGGAGCAAGAAGAGTACAAGAAAGAGGGAATTGAATGGGAGTTCATTGACTTTGGTATGGACTTGGCTGCCTGCATTGAGCTTATTGAGAAGGTGAGCCACATGCTGCATATTCACAAATACAGAGAACTGTCTGATGACTTCAAAGATTGTCAATAATCATTTCATCACAACAGCCAATGGGCATCTTCTCCATCCTTGAAGAGGAGTGCATTGTCCCCAAGGCAACAGACATGACCTTCAAGAACAAACTCTATGATCAGCATCTTGGTAAAAGTGCACCCTTCCAGAAACCGAGAATTGGCAAAGGTAAAGCTGAGGCCCATTTCTCCCTGGTGCACTATGCTGGTACTGTGGACTACAATGTCGTTGGTTGGCTGGACAAGAACAAAGACCCCCTGAACGACTCAGTGGTTCAGCTTTATCAGAAGTCTTCAGTCAAATTGCTGGCCTTCTTGTATGCATCCCATGCTTCAGCAGAAGGTACGTGCCATTGCTTGTCTCTGTAATATGAGAGATTAAAATTGAAAACATCATTTGTGTTGAAATGAACTATTTTGGTGTATTTGTTGTTTTACTGACAGCTGAGGGTGGTGGTGGCAAGAAAGGTGGCAAGAAGAAGGGTGGCTCCTTCCAGACTGTGTCTGCTTTGTTCAGGGTAAGATTTTAAAGAATGATTGACATGCTTCATTGCATTTACTGTTTGTCTGATTTAGTGCCTTTTGTAAAGATGATGTCCTTTTAATCCTTCAGGAGAATTTAGGAAAGCTGATGACTAATTTGAGGAGCACACATCCTCATTTTGTGCGTTGCTTGATTCCCAATGAATCCAAGACACCAGGTACATGAGAAAAAAAAGAAGTGCTTTTACTGTTATTCTTTTATTGCAAGTAGTTTAACAATGTATTATAGGTCTTATGGAGAACCACCTGGTCATCCACCAGCTGAGGTGTAACGGTGTGCTCGAAGGGATCAGGATCTGCAGGAAAGGTTTCCCCAGCAGAATCCTCTATGGGGATTTCAAGCAGAGGTAGCAAATATATCATCTTTGCAGGTACTGAAAAATCTTTGTTGTCTTCAAACTAGTGTTTTCTAACAGAATAAAATCTTTACTCCTAGATACAAAGTACTGAATGCCAGTGTCATCCCAGAGGGACAGTTTATTGACAACAAGAAGGCTTCAGAGAAACTACTGGGATCCATCGATGTTGACCATTCTCAGTATAAATTTGGCCACACCAAGGTAGGGTATTAATACACTCCTGTGGAAAAGGCTGTTTTAAAAGAAATACAAGATCAACTATCATCAATAATAATTTGCTTAAATATAATTATAATTGTTGACTCTCAGGTGTTCTTCAAAGCTGGGCTGCTGGGTCTCCTAGAGGAGATGAGAGATGAGAAACTGGCTGAGCTGGTCACAATGACTCAGGCTCTCTGCAGAGGTTTCCTCATGAGGCGTGAGTTTGTGAAGATGATGGAAAGGAGGTACTGTGTCTGTCTGTTACTGATGTTGGCTACAATTTAAATATGTTTTAAAGGCTGTAAGTTTATTTGTTCAATAAACATTTGCTAACATTTTTTTGTATGTTTTTATCAGGGAAGCCATTTACTCCATCCAGTACAATATTCGTTCATTCATGAATGTCAAAACCTGGCCATGGATGAAGCTGTACTTTAAGATTAAGCCTCTTCTGAAGAGTGCAGAGACTGAGAAAGAGATGGCTCAAATGAAAGAGGACTTTGAAAAGACCAAAGAGGAGCTAGCAAAGGCTCTGGCTAAGAAGAAAGAACTGGAGGAGAAGATGGTCTCTCTCCTGCAGGAGAAAAATGACCTGCAGCTGCAAATTCAGTCTGTATGTTAAGTATAATGAAGGAATGTGTATTTGACTGATTCAAGTTTTTATAATTAACCCAGGAATATTTTCATTTTATGTCATATAAATCTAGGAAGGTGACAGCCTTGCTGATGCCGAGGAAAGGTGTGATGGGCTCATTAAAGCAAAAATCCAGCTTGAGGCCAAAGCCAAAGAGATTTCTGAGAGACTGGAGGATGAGGAGGAAATCAATGCTGAGCTGACGGCAAAGAAGAGGAAGCTGGAGGACGAGTGCTCTGAGTTGAAGAAAGACATTGATGACTTGGAGCTCACCCTGGCCAAAGTGGAAAAGGAGAAACATGCCACTGAGAACAAGGTTGGTAGATGTTTCATAAGACCTTAAAGTCCATCCTTTGCAGAACACTAAAAACCTTGAAAACTGTTTTCCCAATACTGCAAATACAGGTTAAAAACCTGGTTGAAGAAATTACTTCTCTTGATGAGACTGTTGCCAAGTTGACCAAAGAGAAGAAAGCCCTCCAAGAGGCCCATCAGCAGACCCTTGATGATCTTCAGGCAGAGGAAGACAAAGTCAACACTCTGACAAAGGCCAAGATCAAACTAGAGCAGCAAGTGGACGATGTATGCAATCCACTGTTGAAAACACATGTTGCACATACCAATCACACTTTTATTTTAATTCGAAAAAATCACCTGCTTTTATAGCTTGAAGGTTCACTGGAGCAAGAAAAGAAACTTCGTATGGACCTTGAACGAGCTAAAAGAAAGCTTGAAGGGGATCTGAAACTGGCCCAGGAATCCATCATGGATCTGGAGAATGACAAGCAGCAGTCTGAGGAGAAAATAAAAAAGTGAGTATAAGAATTAATCTGTTCACTAGCAGTAACCTCTCTATGAGAGGTTTTACTAAGACACAGCATTAATATACCAAATTACATTCGTCTTCTTCCAGAAAGGACTTTGAAATAAGCCAGCTCCTGAGTAAGATTGAGGATGAGCAGTCTCTTGGAATCCAGCTCCAGAAAAAGATAAAGGAACTTCAGGTATAATTTGAAATAGTAAAGTAATGGCAGCCAAAAGCAAGAGAACATTCAAATACACTGAACAATTTTCTCTTAAAACTTGTGTTTCAGGCTCGTATTGAGGAGCTGGAGGAGGAGATTGAGGCTGAGCGGGCTGCTCGGGCCAAGGTGGAGAAGCAGAGGGCTGATCTCTCCAGAGAACTTGAGGAGATCAGTGAGAGGCTTGAAGAGGCTGGTGGAGCAACTTCAGCTCAGATTGAGATGAACAAAAAGCGTGAGGCCGAGTTTCAAAAGCTGCGTCGTGATCTCGAAGAGTCCACCCTGCAGCATGAGGCCACCGCTGCAGCTCTACGCAAGAAGCAGGCTGACAGCGTGGCTGAGCTGGGAGAACAGATTGATAACCTCCAACGTGTCAAACAGAAGCTGGAGAAAGAGAAGAGTGAATACAAGATGGAGATCGATGACCTCACGAGCAATATGGAGTCTGTTGCAAAAGCGAAGGTGAAAGTGCTGCATTTTCATACAGGCATAAAAAAATAATGGTAATAACTTTATACTAATGCATGCCTTCTTTCACCAGGCAAACCTTGAAAAAATGTGCAGGACATTAGAAGATCAGCTGAGTGAGCTCAAATCTAAGAACGATGAGAATGTCCGTCAACTGAATGACTTGAGTGCACAGAGAGCAAGACTTCAAACTGAAAATGGTAAGAATTTCACTTTTTGGGTCGGTCACATTGTCCTGCAGAAACAAGACTCCTCAACCAGGTGCCAAATCATTGTCACATATTTAACGTCTCAGATATAGTCAGTGGTGCTATATGAAAGTGACTTTTGTAAAGATAAATGCAAGTTGTCCCAAGATTCTAAACAAAACTCACTCATAACATCTTTGAGACAATTCTGACTTACCTTGCACCAGGCAAATATTTTTGAATGGTGTTATAGCATTTTCATGGACTTCTTATAAAGCTTGGGAATTATTTTCAAACTTTGTTTCATTTCTACCAGTTTAAAAATGTCAGGTTTTACTGCTCTCAGAGGTTAATGGTAAATTCAAACAACTCCTATCAGGGTCTTCATCTTTAGTTGCAGCAGTGTAAAATGTATGCTGCAACTGCCACCCACTATGCTAGATTTTGTGAAATCGTAGCGTCACACTACAGTAGTACAGTATGTTGATATAGTACATTCTCTATATTAAATCTGTTCTGGAGATACCTACATCAAACTTTAACTTACCTCTCTTTGTTTGTTCCCTATTTTCAACAACCCTATTCTGTTCCCTTCACTCTCTTTTACCTACCTATTTGCAAACCTGACAAATATATTTTTATTCAACACATGGACCCTGCCCAATGTGTACATAATCACTTAGCATTTCCTTAGTATGATTTGCTTATATTCTGTTGCAATTTTGCTCTGATGTACATTAGAGTAATTTAACTATTGTTTTATTAGGAGAATTTGGGCGTCAGCTGGAGGAGAAAGAAGCTCTTGTCTCTCAGCTGACAAGGAGCAAACAGGCTTACACTCAGCAAATTGAAGAGCTAAAGAGGCACATAGAGGAGGAAGTTAAGGTAAAAGTCTATAAAGCCAACAGGTTAATTAAGGAGTGGACCACCCGATGATTTGTATCAAATATTAATCAGGTTCGCATTTGGATTTTAGGCCAAGAATGCCCTGGCTCATGCCGTTCAATCAGCTCGCCATGACTGCGACCTGCTCAGAGAGCAGTATGAAGAGGAGCAGGAGGCCAAGGCTGAGCTGCAGCGTGCACTGTCCAAGGCCAACAGCGAGGTGACTCAGTGGAGAACCAAATACGAGACCGATGCCATTCAGAGAACTGAGGAGCTGGAGGAGGCCAAGTAAGTCATTACTATTTAAGTTTTGTCCACTAGTAACGAGTATGTAATAATATAATCTAAGTCGTAAAATCAAATGTTCTTAATAGGAAAAAGCTTGCCCAGCGTCTTCAGGATGCAGAGGAATCCATTGAGGCTGTGAATGCAAAATGTGCCTCTCTGGAAAAGACAAAACAGAGACTGGTGGGTGAAGTGGAGGATCTGATGATCGACGTGGAGAGAGCTAATGCTCTGGCTGCGAATCTCGACAAGAAGCAGAGGAACTTTGACAAGGTTGGAATATTTGTTATGCACAGTTTTAGTTAAGATGAGGTGACAAAAAATGCTAATTTGTTTCCTGTATGTTCAGGTTCTTGCAGAGTGGAAGCAAAAGTATGAGGAAAGCCAAGCAGAGCTGGAGGGAGCTCAGAAGGAAGCTCGTGCTTTAAGCACTGAGCTGTTCAAGCTGAAGAACTCATATGAAGAAGCTCTGGACCAACTGGAGACCATGAAGAGAGAGAACAAGAATCTGCAACGTATGACAATTACTTCTATTTTCCACAACAAAATGCACTCTAAACACCATTTCAATGCATCTCTCTTGTCTAATGTTTTTACATTGCATCATATTCTAAATTCTATGCTACCAACAGAGGAGATCTCAGACCTGAGTGAACAACTTGGAGAGACCGGTAAGACGATTCATGAACTTGAGAAAGGAAAAAAGGCAGTGGAAAGTGAGAAGTCAGAGATTCAGACTGCTCTGGAGGAGGCAGAGGTAAAAAAAAAAACTCATATTCATCAGGCTACCGCTTAGAGTTACAATGAACTGTTTTATCAAAATCATTCAGCCGTTGTACAAGGGGCAGGGATGTACTGAAATGTAAAATTCTAGTCAAAATTTAAAAAAAGGTAGTACACAATCTAAAATACTGCAAACCTAGAAACTCTGAACCTGTGCGAGAGACATCATGTACTTCACAGCTCAGTGCTATTTTCCTTTGCTAATAGTCAGTTTCTATATTTTTAATGAAGGAACTCTTCTGTGGTCTAGTTGATAAAGGTCATACTTATTTGCAGGCTACCCTGGAGCATGAGGAATCCAAAATTCTCCGTATTCAGCTTGAGCTCACCCAAGTCAAGAGTGAAGTTGACAGAAAAATTGCAGAGAAGGACGAGGAGATTGACCAAATCAAGAGGAACAGCCAGAGAGTGATTGAGTCCATGCAGACAACTTTGGATGCTGAGGTCAGGAGCAGAAATGATGCCCTGAGAATCAAGAAGAAAATGGAGGGAGACCTCAATGAGATGGAGATTCAGCTGAGCCATGCCAACCGCCAGGCAGCTGAAGCCCAAAAACAGCTGAGAAACGTGCAAGGACATCTTAAGGTATGGTGGCATATGAAACAAAACTACAGGGAGAGTATACTTTTTTGGACTGTCTTACAAATGTTTATTTATTATTTGTTATTTGTTTAGGATGTACAACTGCACCTTGATGAAGCCCTTAGAGGTCAAGAAGACATGAAGCTGGAGCATGAGGAATCCAAGATGCTCCGTGTTCAGCTTGAGCTCACCCAAGTCAAGGGTGAAGTTGACAGAAAAATTGCAGAGAAGGACGAGGAGATTGAGCAAATCAAGAGGAACAGCCAGAGAGTGATCGAGTCCATGCAGACAACTTTGGACGCTGAGGTCAGGAGCAGAAATGATGCCCTGAGAATCAAGAAGAAAATGGAGGGAGACCTCAATGAGATGGAGGTTCAGCTGAGCCATGCCAACCGCCAGGCAGCTGAAGCCCAAAAACAGCTGAGAAACGTGCAGGGACAGCTTAAGGTATGGTGGCATATGAAACAAAACTACAGGGAGTTTACTTCTTTGGACTGCCTTACAAAATGTTTATTTATTATTTGTTTAGGATGTACAACTGCACCTTGATGAAGCCATTAGAGGTCAGGATGAAATGAAAGAGCAGGTTGCTATGGTGGAGCGCAGGAACAACCTGATGCTGGCTGAGATCGAGGAGCTGAGAGTTGCACTGGAGCAAACGGACAGAAGCCGCAAAGTGGCTGAACAGGAGCTGGTTGATGTCAGTGAGCGTGTGGGGCTGCTGCACTCTCAGGTACTGACAAAGGCAGACACACCAGAATTTAAACATTGTTTTTCTATAGTTCATCACTTGTAACGTCATTGTTTTTTCTTTTATAATAGAACACCAGCCTCATCAACACCAAGAAGAAGCTGGAGGCTGACCTGATTCAGATCCAAGGTGAAGTAGAAGACTCTGTCCAGGAAGCAAGAAATGCTGAAGAAAAGGCCAAGAAGGCCATCACTGATGTGAGTCAGTCTGATGCTTCTCTATGTAGCAACCATTTCTACAAAAACAAATGCAACAAATATATTTCTGACGATACAAATTCTTCAAAATATCAGGCTGCCATGATGGCAGAAGAGCTGAAGAAAGAGCAGGACACCAGTGCTCATTTGGAGAGGATGAAGAAGAACCTGGAGGTGACAGTGAAGGACCTGCAGCACCGTCTGGATGAAGCTGAGAATCTGGCCATGAAGGGCGGCAAGAAGCAGCTCCAGAAAATGGAGGCTAGGGTAAAGATCAATCCCAAGTTTTGTTTCAATATGAAGTTTTTACTTTCGAGTAGTAGCAGACATGGTTTATTTTTCAGGTACGTGAGCTTGAGGCTGAAGTTGAAGCTGAGCAGAGACGAGGAGCAGAGGCTGTCAGAGGTGTTCGAAAATATGAGAGAAGAGTGAAAGAGCTCACCTACCAGGTATATTTTTAATTGATTGTTGCAATCATTTGAAAATGTTGCATATTAATATATTTTAAATGTGATTTATTGTTACTGCAGACTGAAGAGGACAAGAAGAATGTCACCAGGCTTCAGGATCTCGTGGACAAGCTGCAGCTCAAAGTGAAGGCCTACAAGCGACAAGCTGAGGAGGCTGTGAGTCAGAAGCTTTTTTCTCTGTATTACCTCAAATAATGTTGCATGCAGTAAACTCAGACCTTGAAACTGAAGAATTTAACCACACTCTTCTGTTTTGAAAGTAATAACTTAATTCCCAGAAAAGTGAATTTCTTTATTGTCAGTTTTCATGATTGTTGACTCTAGTGTTGAATTTCCTCACAGGAGGAGCAGGCCAACACTCACCTGTCCAGGTACAGGAGGGTGCAGCATGAGATGGAGGAGGCTCAGGAGAGAGCTGACATCGCTGAGTCCCAGGTCAACAAGCTGAGGGCAAAGAGTCGTGAAATTGGAAAAGTAAGTGATGCATAAAAGTCAAGCAGCAAGCTGCACATGTGATTATGTGATTTAATAACAAGACTGTGTATTTGAAAGTTTTCAGGTTAATTTAAATTGTATTTAAAATGGTACAAGTGAATACAGTACTTACTGGATGATGAAGGTTTTCCTGTCTTTGGACAAATGTCTTTCATCTTTTTTCTGTTCATTTTAGGTAAAGGAGGCTGAAGAATAATCTGCAGCTTCTTTGACAGATGCAAATGAGAATCATCATTATGTAACTGTTCTCACAATATTGTTAGTCTGCATACAATAAATATGTACCTCCAGCAAGTTGTCTTTAAAATGTTTTTAAGCAACAAAAATGAAGAAACAGCAAAAGAAGCACAATTTACAGTGTGTGTCTTCTCTTCACACTTTGGAAGACTGAAAAACAATGCATTCTAATAATTCATATGAAGTAAGGGAGAGCCAGCATTGATGCCACTATGCAAAAACCTTCATATGGGAACAATTCCAGTATGTGTGATGGTCTTTGTCCACTTTTGACATGTGAGCCTTCATCAGGTTTTCACAACCAGAATGTCTAATTTCAGTCAGTATATTACAAATGAAAAAAGATTAGATTCGGAGTGGGCAGATTGATCCCTAAAGTATGATTACAACCAATATCATGTGTTGTTCAGTAGGACTAACAAAAGAAATAAGGCCTTTCTACTCTGCACCACTACTAGGACACCTGATATTTATCATAAAAACTCTTCTGTTTTTTTTTTTGATAAAACAATCATAAATCATAAAACAATCCTCAATGTTAGGAAATTCATTTGGTGGCAATTAAAATGTCTTCTGAAGTGGTTTATTAATTATGATAACAATACAAACCACTTTTTAGTAAAATAATTTGTATTCATGATACTGGCATGGTATTACTTAGTGATGAAAAGAAAGCAAATTTTGTTGCATTGTCTACCCAAAGAACGAGGTCTTAAAGGAAGTGTTTGACATTTTGAGGAATCCCTGTATTTGCTTTAATGCCAAGTGTTAGATTAGAAGGTTGATATGGGTCCAAAGGGAACAGCTACAGCTAGCAGCCGGTTAGCTTAGCTTAGTATAAGAGACTACTAGGAACGAGCGAAAATGCTGACCTGGCTTAATGCAAAGGGATGAAACTTCAACTACCATCACTTCTAAATTTAATTAACACAGTTTTTATGAAGAATTACTATATGCATTTGAGTAGTTCTTCACTTGGCGCAATAATGTCTGGACTCTTCTCATGGCTGTGAAGTTGACAGGCAACTACAGTATGCACAGTTAAAGCAGATACATTACATACATTTTACTAAATCTTTAAAACATTCTCTTAAAAAGTAGTCACTTATTTGTAAATTGTAATGAATTTAAAAAACATCATTATATGTGACATGTGGCTTCTCTCACCTGGATAAGTGTGCAGGCCTACCTGTGAGTGTCCATCCTACACAGCAATGAAAATTCAACACACACTGTTTAACAACACAATCAGAGCTCTCCTATATTAATTCTCAGTAGAGGCCATAATTTTTATTAATCATTTAATTAGTACTCCAAGTTGCAAGAGGAGGTAAGGATGTAGAGTTGATACTGTTGCATCACTGCACTTCCTGACAGCTGAGAATCCACAATCCTTTGAGGCAAAACAGCCTTTTAGTACTAGCCCGTGTGTTTCCTCTCTGGGGAGCCATTTCATGAATGCTGTGATCGATGACAACTGGTGTCTCCAACCACTAATCTTAGTGCACCTGTTTGTACCATTTGATTCTGGAAAACCCTCTTTGCTGCACACAGAAGAGACAGCTGAGCATTTCTCTACTTAAACTGTGTTTTTGTTATTTTTAGTTCTTACGCAGAAATATCAACAGGCAACCAAGAATATGACTTTCTTTCTATTGCCTATAGTAAAAAACAATCTGCTCATAGTTCTTTCCTAGTAACTACATACATGTCAGAGAAGTACTGAATTTACAAGTAGATCTATGCTTTCAGAAAAATCACTTGAAATGCAATTAACACGTTAATGCAGACAAAATGCAAGACAAAAAAAAAAAAGAAAAACACACACACAGAAAGACTTGTCCTCCATCCAAACACTAGTTATACCCTTTCAATTGTAATTCAAAGTTTTACCCAGAACGAAGTTATTCCGCAGCACCAACCCTCATCTCCCCTGAAAGCTTCATCTTTTCAGTGACTCTAATGAACCTGTGAGAGACGAGCCTCTTAGCTGCTGGTTATACCTCCCACGATGTATAAAATTAATAAGATTTGAACTTCTTTGCGAAATACTGGTGCTCTGATATCACAGCTAAATCAGACAACTACCAGGTGTATTTCTCTTTAAGCCACATAAGAAGGAGTTGTGTCTGTTCGACCAAAAGTATCATTTATCTCGACAAGGCTTTTGAGGACAGCTGGCTGTTAGTTTACTGAATCTGAGAAGCCAACATCCTACAACATGAGCCCAGAGCTTTTAGTGTGTGTGTGTGTGTGTGTGTAGAAGAAGCCAACAACCTATCATGTTTCCCTTGAAGAGCCAAGCTGTACCATTTGATTGATGCTCTTGCACATGATCAGTAGTTATGACTCTTGGATTTCTTTACTGCTCCTCAACAAGCCACCCAAAATTCATGTATTAATCCTTGACAGCTGACAGAATTCTCTCTGCATTAGATAATGGAAAATACTGAAGTAATAAGATCTACAGTAGCTTTGCTTCACATCAGTTCACTAAAGTGTAAACCTACATCAGCCCGCTCTGCTTCTAGTCTGTCCATAATGATGAGTGATTTTGGTGACATGACTGTCTAACAGTGACGTTACAGAAAACCTTTCCTAACAAAAATTTACTAAAATTATACAAAAGCAAATTTTTTCCAAACTAAGTGTTGTAGTACACTCAGCAGGATGGTCATTCATGTGTGAAGTGATTTTGTCGACACTACACTATATGAGTAAAGTTATTGAATATTTTTCCCAATAAAAATCCCCCCAAATTATGAAAAAACATATTTTTCCTAAGGGTTGTAGTACAGTCAGCAGACGACCATTGATGTGTGAAGTAATTTTGGCAACCCTGCACTGGGTTATGAGTAATGTTTTTGAATACTTTTGTATTAGGCCTATCTCTTTTCAGTATAGCACTTTGTAGACGGTCCCTGCACACTTGTCTCACAGCCGGCTGCACATTGATGCCAATGTTATTTGTCCGGAGCAGAGGATGGCCCATTTTGATAAAAACGATCTTGTAAGCTTATTACATGTTGCTACATTACTACGAAACAAAAGAGGCATCATTTGTATTTTAGCAACATTTCAGTTATGACTTATTGATCTGGAATCAGTGAATATCTTTCCGACCAAAGTCAGTCACTAGGTTATAACGTACCATTGTCAGCACCCCGACCGAGAGCAATCGCCTCCTGTGTCTGGGAGCAAATATGACATTTGCACGGCATGTGAGCTTTACTGTAAATCACCTCCTCCCTTTCAGTCAGGCACATCGGAATGATCTAATATAACTTCACTCCAAAGACAGGCCTAATGCGCACCAGTTTGCTCAAATATAAGATGTCCCTACAGTCAATATGCAAAACTACACTCTTGAAATCTACAGGATAATGCCAGAGTAAGTTGATTTCCTGAGAATCTGAGCCATTGTACCTGATGCAAAAGAGAAAAAAATCTCACCGTGAATTTTAGGCTTTGTCTCTTACATCCAGATCTATAATAGATTTACATAAATATATAAATTGGAGAACAAATAAACAGACTCCTTTGTAGATTTCTCTTATATTGCAAATAAATTTGTATGAACGATTTAAACTTTTTATGACAACTGAAGTGTGAAATTGTGCCCCGTTAAAAAATTTGAATGTATAATGCCCCAGTATACAGTACAACATTAGTTACATTGAGTGCAGGGGATCAAAATCTCTAGCAGCGGCCCTGTACAAGCCTGTGCAGTCAGTGGTACAAGCACAAAGTCTGACGTGTTTTAAACCTAAATCTTATTGGACAATGACAATCCAATCACAGAGCAGAGTCAAACTGTCCAATCAGAGGCCATTTGGGTCTCACATGGTTTGCCCCCCTAATATTGCTGCAGATAAGATCGAAGACATTGACACAGTAATAATCATATAGCTTTCTCCCAGAGCCTCCAGTCCTACTGGGAGTGCTGGTGTTAGGGCCCTTCATGTACGCCAGAGGCCCTCAGCTGCACCACTGGATGGAAATGGTCAACACTCCACAGGAGCCAGTTCAGCTGTGGCACGGATTGGGCAGAGCCATTTAAGCAACCAAACTGATCCAGAGACACACATGTGCATATACATGCACACAAAGTCTGAAATAATAGAATAAAAGTGCTAATAAATGTGTTCATCATTTGTAAAACGCCTTGAGGCGATTTCTATCTGCTAATAGAAGCATGTCTAGATGAAAGGTGTGTTTGTAATTGCATATGATTTTTACTTTGTCAGTGTGTGCACGGCAGATATTTCAATGCTGGAAACTGAGAACGTTCGGCCGCTGGCCCCCAACGCCCCCTAGTGCGCATGTGCAGTGGACCCTAGAACGCGGAAGCAACCCCGGAAGAAAAACAAATTTGCCGTGTGCGCCGGGTGAGCAACATTCAGTGGGGAAAATAAATAGAATAAATGAATGTATTAGCGTTATGAAAAGATGTTCTCATAATACATACACTGTAAGATCTACCTTTTCCCATTAATATATCTGTGGGAAGAATGGTCTCCATCTTGTGATTTGGTGTTATAATATAGTGTAGTGATCCTTCACTTGGCATGTTATGATGTTCTGCTGGCACAAGGTAAAGAAATAACTTAGGACAGGTGACACATCTGACCCAGCTGTCAATAAAAGCTCTTGATCCGTTGACAGTTTGAAGTCTCTAACTAGCACAGCAGAACCAGCTCCAGGCCTTTGGCATCTGGATACATGATTAAGTTAAAGCTGTAGAAACCTGCAGTCCCTGTCTCTTATCCACCTGTTTACACTCTTCAGGTATCATGAATGGATGAAGTGTCCTGAGCTGCAGCATCTGACTGCCTCAGAGCCACCGACCCGAGAACAGGAATACGACATGCAGTGGAGCTGGAGGGAAGATGATGACAGTAAGACTTCTTCTGCAGTAAATGTACACACAGAACATGCTCTTATTCATCCTCTAAAGCAGTTGTTTTAAATCTGAAGGCTTGCCAGACTTAGCCTTTAGCCTTAGATTTTTTCATGTGAATAACTGGACACCTTTATTTCTCTGAAAACTACCCAAATAAAACAATGAACTGATCATACAGCAGTGGCTGGAAAGATAAATCTGAGAGAACTTCTTTTACTTTTGTTAAGTTTTTAACATTCAGAATTTTTACAATGCCTACATAAATAAGCTAACACATTGTCCAAATAACAGAAGCTTATACAACTTATGATAGGATAAAGTGAAATAAGATTCAGTGACATTTGCTTTATGAGGTCAACACTCCTTTCAAGTTCTGTCCTTATGGTTTCCAAATCATTCCTTCCAGACATTCGTACCATCATCCATCAGATTTGTTAGGTTAAAGTGTTTATAAATAACTGGTAATCACTGGATATGATATGAAAATAAGTCATCATTCTTTCTGAGGTCATGCACTAGTACAATCATTCAACTTTTACTTAAAGAAAAGCTGTTTCATTTGACTTTTTTTTTTTTTTGCCAGATTGCACATTCATCATCTTCGATAAGCAGCGATGGGCAGTTCCCAGTATAGAAGAGGAGCAGTGCATGGTGGGAGATGTCAACATGTTCCTGACGGACCCAACAGACCTCTCCTTGGCTGAGCTGGAGATCATGACAGCAGGTGATGCCCAGTGTGCTTATCTTAAAAGTGATTCAAAATCAAAGGCTGAGCAAATATCTACAGTCAGCCTGTGCTGCGGTTTGTACATCTCAGTCATTTCCTGTGTATATCTCTTTATATCTGGACATTATATTCCTCTTGTTTTCTACAGAGCCCAGTTACAGAGGCAAGGGCATTGGGAAGGAGGTGGCACACGTGATGATGCACTATGGTGAGCATCTGATCCCATCTTTCAGAAGGTTTCGAGCAGGAAGACAGCAGCTTAAAGTCACTGTGTAGAAGTTGAAAATTTCCACACCCCTTGAATTACTGCCCATTTTTCTGCAGTTCAGTCTTGTGCTGTATTCATGCTGTGTTGTGCTGCCTATTAGTTGGAGAATCAACCTGTGGTGGAGCAGGAAAAATAATAAATGCAAAATTGCCATGAGAATGCAGACAGCAGTGGATGAGATTGATGCAGGTGTATGGTTTGTTGTAAGACGACTTGCAGAAACTTTTAAATTGTATTTTTTGTGTGTTTGTCAGGAAAAGTAAACTGCACCTAACATTCAGTACTATCCTATGTTGACTAAAAACAATGGGATGGATACATGGCTTGGCTCTGATTCCTTAGATTTAAACTACATTTGACAACGTGTGATAAGCTGCATTGCTAGACTTGCCAAAGCAGCTGAAAACTGTAAATTCTTACATGTATCTCTGTACAGTATTTATTTGAAACCCCTCTTTATTCATACTAAATATTTGTGGTTTTAGGTTTTATTGCAAAAATAAATGGTAAAAATAAGCCACAGTTTTGCCTAAAAGCCCAAAACATGTCTTATAACTTTTCTTTTTCCTGTTCCTTTTTCTCAGCACACAGTAAGGCTGCCCTTTAGTGGTGGCACACAGCATTACACCAATCTTAACAAGTAAAAAAAAAAAAAAACAAACAAAAAAAAACAATTTTAACAAGTGTGACCCATTATTGCCTGCTAGTCAAATGAATGGCAATTTAATGGTACAAATAGCAATGTATGTACATGGTCACACTTTTTGTGAGCATGTGTAGGAAAGATTTGTACATAAAAACGTTTTAGAACGTGTGAATAAAATCTGTAAACAAATTATGTTACACAAAGACACTGAAAACAAGCGTTTGTGAACATCTGTGTACAGGTAGAAAGTAGCTAATTGCACATACAACTCAATTTAGGACTACTGAGGTTTAGTGTGAATCACGCCTGAATAGGTTGGACAGTGACAATCCAATCACAGAGCAGAGTCAGACTGTCCAATCAGGTGGTAGCTAGGTTCTTCAAATTAGTCTCCAGTGGCGGTCTTTATATCTTTGGTTGTAGTGGAGCTTCAAGGTGGACAGTGCCAGAGCTGTTCGGCAACTCAGGTGGGTTGTATTAGAAAATCACAGTAAATATTCCATATGTTGCGTTAGGCATGTAGGCAGCACGCAGGTGCCTCGCTGTTAACACAGTTGTCCAAATTTATGTTTTCTATTTCAGGTGGGATACTTTACGTAGCGTTAGCCGAATGCTAATGTGAGGCGTTAGCCGTCCAGTACTCTTTTGTTTTGCCTGAGCCTGTCAATTGTCAGGCTAATTGTGAAACCTGCTCAATCTAGGAAAAATCTCTTAGAGACTTGTAGATGAAAGAACTCCTCTAGTTTTTCATGGCAGTGTCTTTTATATTTAATATTATATATTAATTAAAAAAAACGCCGTTTGGTTTGGGCCTCACCGGGTCTTCATCAGCACGGAAACCTAACAAATTGTTTACACCTGAATGTTTCCGCCCTGATGACCAGGTGAGGTCCAAACCGGGCGGCGTCTTTTTACTGAGATGCCCTGTTATTGGTAAGGGTGCTACCTTCAAAATGTTGCTTAAATAATATTGCAAATGCACTAGCAGGGAAATATACCTAAATTACCAAAATTAAAAGTAGTCACTGTGCAGACTAATAATAGAATGCGTTTCACGTTGATGTATATTATTTGATAATTTCTGGTGCATTATTGTGTTCGTTTTAATGTTGTAGCTGTTAAAGATAGGGATTGACATCAGCTGTCAGGCATCACTAACCTATAGAACCATGCAACAGATTCCCGCCCAGCATAATTTAATGGGAATTTACCCTTTAAAAATGGCCTTCATCACTGCTCTTTTTCACACTTCTGTATTTACACATATTTACAGCTGGAGGCTGCCACACTCTTCCCCCCCCCCCCCCCCCCCCCCCATCAGTTTGATGCTGTTAGTACATTAACGTGACTAGTAAGCATAGGCTAGGAAAATTGAGGAAAGCTCAGGTGAGTAGGGGAGGAGAGGCTCAGATGTGCAAGAAATATGAATTGATTAAACAGTTGTCATTGAGAAACCTGAAAAAAAGAATGCAATCGCCTTTTAATGAATCTTATTTGTGTAAAATGTGCATATAGTAAGAGCTGTTGACTTTTTTCTGCATGTTTTATGGTTTTTATGAAATGTGTTAGTTTGTACTGGTTTCTGTGATAACAGTAATTGTTATAACTAGGACAGACATAGGACTAACTCCCCCATGTATCTTTCAGTAGGCCACAGAACGCATGGACATGAGTATGGGACTCGCACAGCGTCGTTTCGACAGCGTTCCGGGGCCCCTGTCACTCCCACATATGGATGTCAGCTACAAGTTGATGAGGTGAGAAGCATATTCTAAAGTTGTGGTGGTTCAAGTGAGAGTAGTATACTAGCACTGACTGTAATTTCTCAGCTCTCTTGTTCCTGACAAACTCATTTTAAAAGTGTTTTGAGCTACTTTGATGTAATGGCATACACTTCATTCTTTGTTCCAATCTGACTCATTTTTTTTTTTCCACTGACAAACTTCCTAGTTTAAGATGTGTCTTTAAACTATTAGCATCTTTAAGTGCTTTCACTCTGCATTTGTACACAGGGTCAGAATGAACTGTAGTGTAACAGTTATTGTATGATAATGAAGCTTTAGTAAAAACTTTATGGCAAACATTGTCATAACATAGTGACAGACCTTCATTGCTATAGAGTTAACTCTCTTGCCACAGGTTCTGATTTGAGACAATCTCAGTACCTGGATGTTATGTTTGAGGTTATAGTTGGTGTTGTACTGGACTGCATTATATTCAGGTGTTTCTAATAATTTGTTCTGCCCACTGATGTACATGGTCAGAATATTAACATATACATTTTCAGCTTCATCAATGGAAAGGCAGAAGTGTTGCATTTTATAGCAATTGGTTTGGCAATTGGTAGAATTTAATGCTCGTATGCGTCAGTGGAGTGTCCTCCACAGAACAAAAATAACTTTAATCTTGTGCACACATTCCCCCACAGCCTGGTGTGATGCCATGATCTGGACACAGGTGAACCTCCCCCCCCTCCAGTTTTAATGGACTTTATGGGCCTGTAGAAACAGTGAAGACCAGAATCACACAATTTAAGTTGTAATAGCTTTATTGAAAAAAAAAAAAAGCCCTGACAAGACGGCCCTTTTTTTTGGGGGGGGGACCATCAACCATGTGGAGTACCCTCCATTGTTACATGCTACTGAAGTTTTGGCACAAGAGGGGAAATCCCTACTGGTGAGGTCAAAGTAGAGTGCCTCACATTTTCCTCATGCTGTTAAACTGCATGTGTCCAGGCCACAGTTGTGAAGAGTTCTCTTGTAGTTACATAACTGGAGAAAATGTGAGGTGCAACCCCTCCAGTACAGATTTCCCCATCTTACCCAAAACTTCAGCAGCTGACCTAGCTGGGATGGAGCAGCTGCAAAAAAAGTTTGTAGAGCTTTCATTTCAATAATAAAGGGTCCATTTATAAACAAACTTGCCTGTCTCTATGATTGTCTGGTAATGGAATGACATCCAGTTAAGGGCAATGAACATCCTTTCATGGATATGCAGAACAGGCACTGCAAAGTTCCAAATCAGACAAAATCAGGGGGTACTTGAAATAAAAGATGTCATCTCACCGCATGTAAAATAGCGGCCGCTGAATTACTGGTGGCAACGCCCAAGAAAAGGCCAGACTGCTGATACATCCATCTGCTGGGTTTCTCGCCATCAAGCCTATAAGGAACATTCACCAACAAGTCCCCATTCTGTTTACCCTCAATTTATGAAAGAGGCCATGCCAATTTGATCTTCAATAGCAATTTAAACTACCCTGCAGTTAAAGGTTCCACATTTAGGCAATACTAAACTGAAGGGAATGTTAAATTTCACTTTCAGAAGCTATCCACAGCAATAAGAATTTAATGCAACATTTCACTATGGTCTGAACAATTTACTCACCATCTGAATTGTTTGCAGATTTGTAGTGAGCCCACAAAGCTTTGGGTTGTGTACCTCCAAGTTCTGGAGTTGATTTACTCAGCAGGTCTTCAGGTGCACTGTATTCAACAAATACATTTTACAGTTGAACTTGCCCTTCATGAAACTGGGGGAAATGAGCTACATAAATATCGTGTATGTTAGTCCTACTGTTGTGCATACTGCCAAAATACAGCAAGTGAACATGGGTAATAAAGTACTATCAAGTACTAGTACAGTCAGTATAATTCTACAGCTGTAGGTTTTGATAACACCACAAAGTCTATATTAATTTAGTATAAAGCCAATATGGATGAGAAAACATGTAATGTAATTAAAAGCACTAAAGCTAGTGAATCCACCTCATGAGAAATTAGTGTCACCTACCTTTATTCGTGAAGAACAATGACATCCTTCATACAACAATAAACCACCCCCCCAAACACTACATCCCAAAAACTTCTGCCCAGAACGTCTCTGAAGATGGAGAATATTTTGTACAAATGTATGAAATTGCACTAGTTCAGTGAACTTACCCATCCACAGCTTAATAAAGGGTGTAGTGTCAATTTGTTGGAGGGAAAATGTAAAGCATGCGTTCCCCATTGTTGTCATCTGGAGCATCTGTTTGTGTAGCCAACAGAGGATCCTCTGGCCACTGCCACTCTGAATGTAGAACAGGAGGTATTACAGGAGTAGAATGAGACAAGTGTCAAATATATGCATGTGATAACAATTTTAACAATGAAAACGAAAAGTCTTAATTTGAAGAGCACATCTGTGTTTAGTATTTTGTACACAATAACAGTCACTGGGCCCATGAGGTGACTTCACATGTCTCCCTCGGTTAACATAAGAAGAAAAAAAAAACAAAAACAAACCGGTCCATTACTTACAGCTTTATACAAGTCATCCTCCAGTTAGTCTTCATTTCTGGATACTCAAAAGACCTTTAGTAATCTAGATTTCGACATGAAATTCCTTCCATCATTAACAGGATACCATTCTTTAGCGTGAAGCTACTTACTGATAGTTTTTGATGTCAAACCCTGGCTTTGCTTCCACCGTCAATAAAACCTACTGATATTTTGAAGATGACCTTAAATTAAACAAAACCGACATGGCAAAATTTCATAGAAGCAAGTTTTAACAATTAACCTAGTAAAATGAACATGCTAAAGCTAAACAATAGCATATCTGAAGGCTAACCGCACATGGAGCTAAATAGAGGGCACACGCCTGGCTCGCCTTCAGTCCTGAAGGCTTCTTGCTAGCAGAGTTTTGCTAACATTCAATTCTCGCTAACGCTAGATAAAGTGGCCTACAGTCAAACTTGAGCCAACAGGGGATAGGCGACTAGTTACGGCAGCATTTCCTAATAACAGGTTTTAACAAATTAACCTCGTTGTTAAACTGAACATGCTAAAGCAAAGCAATAGGTATCTCAAAGCTAACCGCACATGGAGCTAAATAGAGGGCACACGCCTGGCTCGCCTTCAGTCCTAAAGGCTTCTTGCTAGCAGAGTTTTGCTAACGTTACACGCCAACATTAAATTCTCACTAACGCTAGATAAAGTAGCCTACATGAACTCGAAATCATCTCAAAGTATAGCTAAGCATCTGCACACTAAAACTTAAAGATCTACATTAAGTAAACCTCATCGCCATGAGCCTGTCGCTACTTCACCATCTGTCCTTCCTTCGACGCTTGCTTCCTAATATACCCCACCCACCGACAGGTGACTGTAACGAGCTCATCAGTGATATTCATTTCACCTGTCAGTGGCCATAATGTTATGCCTGATCAATAAGTCAATAGCCAGAATTCCTACTGGTAATGTAAGAGTTGTACTGAAATTAGCTGTATTCTGTCTGTATTTTCCTACCAACATACATACTTTTTGCATAATCTATTTGCTAATTTGAATGTGTTAGGTTAACATGCAGTTTTTGTGAAATCGGTCCCCTCATTAAAATACATCCATCCATCCATCCATTTTCTTCCGCTTATCCGGGGCCGGGTCGCGGGGGCAGCAGTCTAAGCAAGGATGCCCAGACCTCCC